AAAAAGAGACAGTGCATTTCTTTCATATGGAGAAAAATGTGAATGTTTGCATAGCAGGTCTCAAAATCTCTAACCAGCTTTTGTCTCCTGGAAGCCCCCCATGTTTGTAAAGAGTCTTTGATTGGTGGAATCAGAAAAACCAGGATTAGACTCTCATTTCTGTCACCTCCTAGCTCTGGGCAAGAGCTTCCAAATCTGAAGAAGGGGAATAACAGCACCTAAGTGTGCCGTGTTACTGGTAGAATGCATAGGATTATATGAATAAAAAATCAGCAAGGCATCCAAGTTACTGCTTCCCCTCCCCTTTTCTTTTTTACAACTTAGATAGAATTATGGTGTAGTCTGATTACTGTAGATCCTGTGTTTCCAAACAAATCAAAATATTTTTGACTGTATTTAAGATTTATTTATTTTATCTTTCTCAGTTGCCAGTTCTGTGTTTGCAACAAGAAGTAAGCTCTTGAAAAATGCTGTATAAATTAAATTGGGAAAACTCTCTCAAATGAGCATTTTAACACTTGTAGAGATTAATAGTCATTTGAAGATTAAAACCATAAATTATTATCCCATTTGTGCATTTAGCAGCAATTAATAAATTATATTAGACATGACTAGCACCTATAAGAAGAGGTCTCAGATATTCATTTCACTGCCTTCTGAAACTCTTCACCATCTCCAGAACATGTCCCTTGAATCTGTCATGTTTCTTTATTCTAAATTGAATTTAAAAAAAAAAACAAAACAAAACAAAGTGGCCCTCACAAAGAAAATATCATTGGCAACAAATATTCCATTCCTTGGTTAATAATGTGTAATCAAAATAGAAGTAAAAACACAAAATCTGAAGTCAAACAGATGTAGGTTTAAAATCCTAGCTTGGCCACGTACCAGCTATGTCAGTGTGGCCAGATTAGCCTCTGGATTCCTGTTTCCTCACTTGTGCAATGGCGCTAATTATGCTTAACTAGCAAGGCAGTTGTTAAGATTGGAGGCAAGACTTTTAATCACTCGTCACATGATCAAAACACAAGTGTCATAGGACAATATTAAGTATATGTAACACACTCTTTTTTCTTTTCTTTCCTACTTTCATTTCTTTTGCTTGAAAAATTGTTTATGACTCACTAGATGTGTGACCCATAAAAAGTCATGATGTGCCTTTTGTAAACAACGGGATAGCATGATGTTTAGTACATAATACAAGAGTGACAAATGATTACTATCATTGCTGTTATGATTATTTTTAGTCTTTTTTTAGGATGTTTCATTATAGATGAGAATAAAATCTTTCAAGTACTTCTAGGAACTAACTCCCTTGGATGGGGTCCAAAATAGACTCATACTCATTGTATGCTGAATTATGCACTAGAGGGGGTTGTGCTATAGCAAAGTTCCTGTGTGCTATTCATAACAGAATGTTAGAGTGGAAAGGCACTAAGAAAATGTCTAGTCCCATTTCTTCACTTTTCTTTATGTAAGTATTTATAGTTTTAAAACAATCTATATTTATTGTTCATTGATAAGTGGGAAAAACAGTTTGATCTTGAACTAGGAGGTACTTGGAAAGAGTTGGTGGCAGGGGAACACTGGGTCATAGCTGCATTTTGGGTCTGCCTTTAACACCAAATGAGTTTGGATCACCTTAAACTCTCACAGACTCAATTTCCTTACCTATAAAAGTAGGTGATTTCAACAGATGGTATTCTTTTGATTTCAAGTCTCCAAATATGAAACACTCCTAAAGGTTATAGGAGATGACACAGAGTGCTGTTTTGTTACAAATCTGCTGTGACTGTATTAATATTTGTATATGGGGCAGCTGTCTTACCCCACCACTGGTAGGAGGTGCACAAAAGGTCTACCTTGTTTCTTCCACCTCCTCTTCCTCAGCAGTGTTGTCCTGAATAATGCTGGATCTTTTACAAAAATAGCTCGGACTTGCATTATCCCACTGCTACTTCTTTTTCTACGACATTTGGTTATAGTGGGACAGGAGAATCTACGACCTCATGGTATCAGAAAATTAGGGTCCTCCGGCTAATCTCACTTATATTGTTCTCTGTCTCCCCTTATTTCTGGATCCCTTTGCTACCTGCTTGTTGCTCACCTTAGTAATGAACATAGCTAAGTTCTCTAGGTAGTCTAACTTGCTACCAGCAGTTTACTTCCTTTATAGTATAATAACCAACAGGTTATTTCCTTTACTACACTCTCAGCCTTCCCAGCTGGGAACTTTTAAAATAAGGTCAGATATGCTCAGATTATCTGATCATCTCTCTCTCTCTTTTATAAAGTTTATTTATTTATTTTGAGAGAGAGAGAGATTGAGAGAGGGAGAGAGAAAGTCCCAAGCAGGTTCCTCACTGTCAGCACAGAGCCCCAGGCTGCTCTATCCCACAAACTGTGAGATCATGACCTGAGCTGAAATCAAGAGCAGGATGCTCAACCGACTAGTGCCCCTGGTCAGCTCTTCTTAAATGTGGGACAGGGATGTGTATCTTTCCACCAAAGACAAGAGCAAAGGATTATTATGATTTTAAACACTTTCTGTTTGTCCTTATAACATCCAACTTTGCAAGAGGAAAATGGGACTCACCACTCTATGGAGGAGAATCTGGCAATGAGAAAGCCAAATCAGCTTACAGTTTACACCTTGAGTGAGAATTATCCGCCCAGATTTCTGAATCCATCCTTAGGGCACAGTGGGAGGGAGTCCATTACACCTGCTCAGCCTTTCAGTTCCTCATGTACAGAAAGCCTGCAGGGTACACTTCACTCTAGAAGCTTGCATAGATAGGAATTTCTTCTTAAGTTTTACTATAAGGCTGACCCCCCCCCCATACACACAATACAAGGAAGACTCAAGCCACAACAATCCCCCCCTGGCCTGTCCCCTCAAATTACTGGAAAACTGAACTTAAGTTAGCAAGACTCCTTGCAAAAATATGTGACTTCTTTTGAAGTACAAAAGGGGCCGAGGATTACTGACCAATCCCTCAGTGTCTTTCAGGAGTACAGCATGTAGATGGTGGCAACAAATGGGCAGCTGGAGGCAGCAGTCAGGATGCTAGATCACTTTACCTTTGCCCTTTCAAAGCACAGCCTTGAACCTGCAGGAATAGTATTTTCTGTATGTGCCCGCCTGAAAAGAGAATGAGCAAGGGAGGTGGCTGGAGGTCCTGCCTTTATTTAACCTTTCTGACCAAGTTTCTAATAAAATTTTGGTAGGCCAATTGCCAATGGTGGCTTCCAGCTGCTGGCTCTGTCCACATGCTAGAGAGTCTGTGAGGAGTGAAGAAGGTTAAAATGTGCCTGTTCGCTAACAATCCACCTAGTGTGTTCTGTGGATGAAGGGTTCACAGATCAAGCTTGTGTAGCGGAACAACTGAGTGCATGTCTAGGGAGAGGGTTTTATGGTGTTCTTCAGACAAGCTGGGAGCAGTGAATTTCCAACAACCTAAAAGGGAGTAGCATAGGAGCAAAACAAAGGTTATCACAGTGAGATTGATCCATACTTCCCTTCCTCTCTGACTCCAAAGTAGATCCTACAAGCATCCCTGAATAAGACTGCCAAGGTGAACTGGGGCGGATACAAACTGTCTCATCAACGCACGCTCTTATATTATTATAACTGCTTTGAATGGGGGCGCGATCAGCATTTTTTCCCCCTTCAGTGAGTGCACCGGGACACCCAGCAGGAAGCACCAGGGTGTGCATCTCTTCGGAGATGAGTGAATTTGTTAGAGGGGGTCTTTTCTGGACTGGTGGATGGATGCTGAAGAGTGACGTCACCCCACCCCCTCCTCTGCCTGTGTGTGTGTGTGTGCGCGCGTGTGTGCGCGCGCGCGCGCGTGTGTGTGTGTGTGGTGTGGTGCGCCTCCTTCGCCCAGCTCTCCTGCTTGTCCCTCCTTCGTCCAGCTCTCCGGCCCTTTCAGTGGGTCAATGGTCCAGATTCAGGGATTCGCCGGCAGGCGCAGCGGGCCTGGCTCTCCCTGCGCCCGGGCGCACCCACACTCACACTTCTCGCACTGGCAACGCGCACACACACTCTCCCAGCGCCGGGGCACCGCGATTCTGTGGGATCCCCAGCACGTTACGAGGATTTTTAGAAATCACTCAGACAAGGAAACAAAGAAAGAAGCTTTTCCAATCACTTTCCTGAGCTTCTTCATTTAATTTCCCCACCAAATCACCTCGCCTCCAACCATAACCACGAGGTTCAGGCCAAGTCCAAGGACGGGGCTGGACTGGCCGTCCCGCCTCCCGGCTCCTGACACCGCTCGGGCCGGTCTCCAGGTGTCGCCCCGAACCCCTCTCCCCCTCTTCCCCTCTTCCCCCGCGGGCCTCAGTTTCTGGTTACCTCTCGCGTGCGCTTCACTTTTGGGGGGAAGAAGAGAAGAATGGGAGGGAGGCGCTGAGGGGGGCAGCCGAGTTGCTATTTGTGGCCAAAGAATCCTCTTTAAAAGAAGCAGCAGCAGGAAGGAGGAGAGGAGAGAAGCAGAGGGAGAGGAGACCCGGCCTCGGACCCCCCAGCCGCGAGCAGCGGAGCATCGAGGATCGGGAGGAGGAGGAAGAGCGGAAGGAGGAGGGAGAGCCGACACCGCGGCGGCGGCGGCAGCCTGCGGAGCGAGCGCGGGGCGAGCAGCGGAGCGGGAGGAGGGGAAACCGCCGCGGAAGCCTCCAGCTCAGAAGGGCCAGGAGGACGGCCCGGGAGGAGGAGGAGGAGGCGGAGGAGGAGGAGGAGAAGGGGGTAGGGGTGGAGGGAGGGCGGGGGGACGCGCTCCCTTGGATGCTGGATTTCGGGGTTTCGGACTCACTCGCTGACTCTCCTCCACTTCCTCGCTCTGGACTGGGCTGGCCGTACGAGGGCCGGGCGGCGCCAGCACCTGGGGGGACCCCCTCGGCGGCGGCCGCAGCTCCGCGGGATTGACTTGGCCGCGCAGAGGCGGCGGCTCCGGCAGGCGCGGGCTGCGCGGCCGTGGCGGGGCGCGAAGGCGCTGGGGGAAAGTGCTGGTGGCGGCGCGGGAGGAGGTGGCGGCGGCTGCCTGGAGCCAACATGACCAGGTAAGTCCCCGGGCGACCCGGCCCGCCCCCCGGCGTCCGCCCTCCCTGCGCCCGGGGCTTGCCGCGAGCCCGGCGCCGGCAGCCCGCGTCTCCCTGGCCGGAGCTTCCCACTCCCGCGTCCGCGACCCCGGCGCCCCGGCAGCCGGAGCGCGCACAGTTTGCTCCTCTGAACCTCCTCGGGCAGAGGTCCTCCCCTGCACGGTTCGCCCGTCGCTGAAACCCTCAGACCAAGGAGAGTGGAGATTCCGGACAAGGAGGGTGTTTGTGTACGTGCATTTGTGCGACCCCCGCTCTCTCTTCCCAGGGTGGGCTGAGTACTGGGGAAATGGAGGCCCAGTGGGGCAAGCCGACCCTGCCCAGGAATTCTGCCTCCGAATATATCTAGATCTTTTTTTTTTTTTTTTTTTAAGAGGCAGTGATTACTGTTTTAAGAAGGGCTGATTATGGTGAGGGGGCGAATTCTTTTTCTTTCTTTCCTCTGAACTAGTGGGGGGAAGGAGAAATAGCAGGAATCAAAGTCTTCAAGGCTGCCATAGAGGAGGGGGTTGTTTTGGAGACCTTTCCAAGGCAAGAATCAAAGATCGTAGTTCTGCGAGGGGAAGCTGGTGTTCTTACTCATTCCGTAGGGAAGGGAACGCAGAATTTATAATGAAAAATCCAAGTTGTAGGAAACAGTTTCAATAGAGAGCCACAACACACCAAAGGTTCTTTGCTTTTCTATCGATTTATTGTAGCTTTTATTTAGGCATGTGGAGAACTTGCATCGTTTATCTGCGAGGTTGGTTTTCATTTAGAAGCGCCAACAAATGAAATCACGTTTCTTATGCTTAAAAAATGTCTTGAACACGAAGTATGAGGTTGGCTTTCATTAACTGGGTGTTCTAGGATTCTGAATAGTAGTTCAATTCTCCCAGACCCGGACACTCACAATCCACTTGTATTGTTTTCAGCTCCCTCCAGTACAGAGTTGCAGAATGTCTCTGTTTTCTAAAATTCTTGGAGTGATCCCCCAAGACCAGGCTACAGTTTGTGCCTTAAGCATCCAGAAAGATTCCCGAGGGATCACTCACTCTCCCTGTTAAATCTCTTAAAGTTTTTTTTCCCCTTTTCTTTAAATTTCTTTTTCTTTTACATGCCTATACACATAGTGGCACTGACCTAACAGAGCTTAGCACACTCATTTTGCATCTCTCAGAGACTAGTAACTGCTTCTGACTTGAGACAGATTTGCTGTTGGACTTCCAGAGCTACAGACATGGTTCTGTCCTTTTGATGTGTTCCTCCAACCATCCTGTAATAACACACATTTGGGGAGTTAGTTTAACCATTGATACTTTTGATCATTTTTGCCATTCTGTCTCTGTCTGAAAGTGTACACACCCACTACTCAACTTGAGTAAAACCAAGGTGATGTACCAAGACTTGAAACATTCTGATTTAAAGGAATATTTAGATGATACCAGCTTGATGATGCTAATATGAGGGTATTCAGGACAATGCTTAGCAGATATTATACTTACTTTGAAAGCATATTGTGTTATATGCCACAGATAGATACTATTTTATTGACTTAGCAAAGAGAGGATAAATTTTCAATGCTCAATGTCCGAATTCTTGAGATAGACATCTTAAATGGACATAGAAAGAAAATGTCCTTACCTCCCACCTCCCATAATTATGTACTGTACTTTGCTTTTCAATGGAGCTTTTCAAATGGAGCTAAAAATGACAGATTTTTAAAATTCACCCTCATGCTATCAGCTATTATTGTACTTTCAAAGTGTGAAATTGACAAGCTGGTCAGTTTCATGAATTCAGCTGTCAGATTGTGTCCAGTTAAAAATTGCTAAAAGCTGTAAATGTGCCTGCCTGGAATTTTCTTTTGTAAAGGAAAGACAGTAAGAAGATGAGGATTAAGGGGTGTTATTAATTGTACATCCTTTAAAATAGGTGCACTCCACTGTGAGTTTTATCACTGGCTGTTGTTGGGAAATATATGCAGATTTTTACTATTTTAAAAGTGGCATTTAGTTTGTGTCAGTATTTCATTTAAAATAGTGAGCACTTTACTTCAAAATTATCTGTTCTTAAAGCCCTCAGTAACAATAGTACAATAAGAATGAAATTCAAAGAGGAAAATTGTCTTTCAAATATATTTTAATATATTTGAGTAATATATTACTTTTGTAATGACATGTAGAGGTAGATGTTAAATATTTTATTGTGGAGGTTATGTAACACAAATTCTTCTTGGACCAGTGCGGTTGTAGTTACTAAAGTAATGAAACGTGGTGATCTACTTAAATATATGTGTATTTCGGTAGATGATCATTAAAATAAAAATGATTAAAGTATTAAATACAATGATTCGATTTGCCTTTTTAGATTGACATTCATTTAAAACCAGAATATCTCAAAGTCGAGAACTGAGAATCGGAATCCCCTCATCTGCTGCTATTTGCTAAGCCACTAGGGGCCTGTATAACTGTTCTTATATCCAGGAGATACCCTCCTATGGCATATGCAAACCCTTCCTAGAGAGACATTTACAAAAAAGTAGGCAGTCCCCTAAGTTTTTGTTTTGTTTTTAACCTATTAACTCAGGCTCTAATGTTAGCCATAGACATTGATTGAAGAGTATTTCAAGAACACTGGTTAGAGACCATGGTGGTGTAAGGTGATTTTTCATATAAAATGTGAAACAGAAGAGGTATTTGTACCAATTCATATGTGATCTCAGTTTCTCAGTGTATATCAAGGGTAAACATGTAAGAACATTAATAACTTTTTTATTGGGCTGATAAGGATGTTATTTTGCATAATGTGGGGTTAAAAGATAAATGAAGCAGAATTACTTTAAGGAAAGTGTAGTCATAGATTGATGGTGTGATTAAACTAGCTTTGTAAGTGCTGTGCAGGTTAGTATGGAAGGAGAATCTGAGGCTGTGACTCCAGTGTAGTCAGCACTGAGGGACCTGAGCTAAAGATGGACTATACATTTTTAAGTGTCAGTTTCACAAATTTGAAATCGACCAGCGCTGGCAATCTTGATAGACATTAGGCAATAAGGTCAAGTATATTTACACTGTTCTTTTGTTGATTTTCAGTTTTTCAAACTGACAAGGGTGACTATTTGTAAAAGAGCACACCACTGGCATTTGCATATTGGATTTCCTTCAGACCGAGCTTGATTTATCAAGCTATTAAACAATTCTATTTTTAAAAAGATTCTATGGATAAATAAGAATTCATTAACACAATCACATATGAAGAGTGCCATTTCAGGAAAGATGGATTCCTCAAGATGATTTTTGCTTTCAAACTACTCTTCAGTTTCAGCTGTGCATCTGTGGGTAGTCTGAGAGTCTGAGTATGTGTGTACTCTAACTTGTGATCCTGAGAGCATCAAACTTTTAGACTCAGGTCTTTAAATCTATGCACTTAACCTTTGCTCATGGGTACCCTCTCAATTTCCCCCAAAGTTTCTGGTTATCTCAGAAATGAACTTTACCTTTGACATAGTGTGCTCAACTTAGTGGCCATAAAATGTAACTTTAGGATTTGTATTATAAGATATATGAACTGCTAAGCATCCAGTTTTCCAGAGTATTCAAAGAATGTATTATTTTTTTCTTATTTTTTTAAAGAGACAGTACGTTTCAGTTGAAAAGTTTAGTGTCAGAAAATAAGTAATATTTTAAGCTACCCCTACTCTGGGGGCTTTATTGCCCTAAGGAGTTATTTACCCTAAGGAGTTATTTACCTTTTCTTTGTACTGTTTGGTTTCTTTGAAAAAAATCTTTTTGAAGCTGCTTACTTGTGATGGCAGAAAGGCAACTTGCAGCCTGAAGCAAAGTCTGTGTTTAAAAACATTTTTTTATATTTTTAATGATTTGCCAAGGAAGAGCAAAGAGAAGAGTTAATTCTCTCTGTGCATGAGAAGATTGAGGATTCCAGTATAACACGTCAACTAAGAAATCTGATAATGTGGAAGAAGATTGCTTAGAAGGGATATGTCAATGAATTTTATTCCCACAAACATCACTTGTTTAAGCTTCTGTAATTTCATAGTACAGTGACATTTCCACCAAAGGATCGGTTTGTTAGGGGATATATTTTCTATAGGGATAATCTCATTTGCTTCTAATTAGTAGTTGATAACACTTTTAAAATTTCATGCTTCACTTGCATTTGTTTTGGCAATTGAAGTGTCCAACTCCTACACCCCCATTTTTAAAATAAAAATATGTTTCAGCTCTTTACAATTAGTCCCTTAAGAAAGATAGCTGAAAGAATAAATGGCTTGTGCTTCCTGATTGTACATTATATGAAATTATAGCCTTACATGTAAGAGTTCAGCATTTCCTTTGCGTCATAAGTCTTGGGTAGGTCAAAGAGCAGATGCTTGTATGTTACAGTAGTCTCTGACCTAATGCAGCCTAAATAATAAAGTTATGACGGTGGTACTAGACTGAAGCACTAGTGAAATAGAATTAATGTATTTCACAAAATTACATTGAAGGCCTCTGCCCCCCGTTTCTCCTCTAATAAATTACCCATTTGTTTTCATGTGATCAGCAGTAAGTTTGCATTTTCTTCTTTTGACATTTTACTTATCAAATATTTTTAAGACTTAGATGTTAAAATAATGTAAGTGTTATATCCACATGTACATGCTATACAATGTGTCAGGCGGAGGCAGTGGTGGGGGGAGGTGACTAAAATAATGCCTGTAAAACCCCGCCTTCTGCATCTCAAAATAATTCATTCAGTATCTTTCTGTCCATTATTTTCTATTTGAGGCTGATATATTTAATTGGATCGTGTCTATACTTGTCAGTTTGTCTATAGCTTTTTAAAAATTACCAAAAAATAGAGCAAAACTGCACTTTTTCTTCACTTTCCACCTTTGCTCGAATCAAATCCTGTATGTCCTAGATCAGTGAGTTAAATGAAAGAATCGACAATTTGGAAAGCGAAGACAACTGATTTTGTCTATA